AAGTTTTTAGATGTACTGCTCACTCCATTCATTCAAACAATTGTACGCTGACAGTGCATGATTGCTACTTGCTCCGGTTATGTCCTGGAAAAATTAAACATACGAATTGTTGGCGAACCCGAGGAAATCAAGATTTTATATCGTGATAACGAAATCCACAAAATATACGTGACGGCGGTTATAGCCATGCCGTTTTCTTATGAAAACTTTTTATTTTTTGTGGTTTCTAAATCTGGAACCGAAATAGATTGATTCAACAACCCCCTCAACGGTGAAATTTTTTTTAATATATCAACCTCACTCACTCTTTTTCTTTATTACCACCCACTCATATTATTACTTTACCGATCCCATTCTAATAAAACAATTTAAATTTTAATCAAATTCATACTAATTGCCACAATCGTCGTACTGCAGACGAGGTCCAGTTGTGGTAATGGTAAGAAATGTATAGCGACTTAATGGACCGAAACATTTCTAACCATTTAAAAAAATTTTTTTTCAACGCTTTATTAGTTCTTCTTTTAACATAAAAAATATTTTATTTAGGGTTTTGGAGAAAATACGAACAAAAGGATGAAAGGGTTGTAGAGAATTATTAAAGTTGGTAAGAAATGTTTCGGTTCATTTTATTATTTTATTTATCTTATCCTAAAGGTGTTGCCGACTTCCCCATGTTTAATATATTTTGTGATCGCAGAGATTTTAGGGGCGATAGGGGTGAACCTCCCCCTACTGTCGTCCGTTTTCCGGTTACTTTTACGAAATTCAACGAAGGGTGGAGGCCGTCTTGCCAGAGAAGCCCGTCTTGTACTACTTGTAGCCCGTCCTGTGCTACTGAAGGAGCGGTAGTCCAGCCTGTGCCACTGATTGACCAGTGTAATGAAATGAAACTTGCAAGGATCTAATTAAGTGAAATTGTTGATGAGGGAATAACCAAAAATCTGTCCCGCTGAACCACCACCCCGAGAAGAGAGGTTTTTTCCCGACATTAATGATAAATCCAACAAAAAACAGCAAATAAACGGTTATCAAGTATTCAGGCGCTTTCCAACCAGTACTTTTATCCTTGCCATCCAACATTTCCATCCTTGCCAGCCTGCATTAGTAGCATCAAAATGGATTATTTAGTAATTTGTGGTACTTAAAATCAAACGGTAAGAGCAATA